TAAAATAGCCTTTCAATACCGTCGTTATATTGATAATTGTTTGAACTAGTATGGTGAAAATAATTTTATGAATTTCAAGGTTATATATTCGTTACAAAAATACGTTACTGTTTGTAATGTCATGTGCTGTTTGTCGTTAATGGAAGATGTTCGTTGTTATTCTGCGGTTTACATGTTGTATCGACTTTTATATTATTTATTTGTGCGTCTCTCTGTGATGAGTGTTCTTGCGTGTGTTTGTGCTGTATTTCTGTCACGTAGTGTTGTCATTTTAGCGATATTTTTTAACGTTGCCATATAAGCGGGAGGTTTTGCTAGCAAAAAAAAAACCCAGGTTCAACCCACCATTTTTTCTTAAAATGTCCTGTACCAAGTCAGGAATATGGCAGTTGTTATCAAATAGTTCGTTTCTATGTATGTTGGCGTTTGTTTTTGTTGCACTTCAGTGTTTCTATTGTTCCTTTGTTTTCCTCTTATAGTTGACGTGTTTCCCTCGGTTGTAGTTTGTAACCCGGATTTGTTTTCTCTCAATTGATTTATGACTTTAGAACAGCAGTATACTACTGTTGCCTTTATTTAAATGTGTTGAATTACATTTTTTCTTATTTTTGAGGGTCTGGCCCCCCGCTTTATTTTTCAGTTAGCACTCTAGACACCCTTTTTGAAAGTATTATACCTGTCAATTAATATGATATGCTATTATGTTATAGCGTGGCACAAAGATGTTTATCTAGATACTTAGAACATTTCATGTTCTGCATGCTTACATGTTTTATACTTTGTTTTAGATAACCAGACTGACCTATTACGAATTTTCCAGTTTTTGTTTGAAGTGCAGAGGTATTCAGATAAATCTCTGAATTTTTTTTCATGTTAAAAGTGTTATCTAGATTTTTATAAATTGATTGACCACATCTATTGTAACTTTTAGACATGAAAAGCGCTTCAGACGTAATCAAAGGAAATCCGATCGAGAGGGTGTATACTAATATCAAATGTTCTTAGTATTCAATATACTCAATACGTTTCCGAAGCTATACAGTCTAGCTACTCTTATGCCAGTTTTGGTTATACATGTGTTTGATTGGTATTTTGTATAGTGCTTTCGATCAAGCCTCTTGTATGTTAAATATAAAGATTCCCCATTATTCTAGATCTAATTTTAGAAATTGTAAAGGTGGGGTCCCTGATCTTATATTTAGAATAAATGTTTTGAATTTATCTATCCTTTGGCGAAAAATAGTTTATCGAATTTGTTAAGTAATTTTTTCTTATCAATCTATACTACTAAAATAACGAGGTCCAAATTGTTAGCCGGCATGACGTAAAAACAACGAATCAAAGAATTCAAATTTATATATAACTAATATAGGACAATGGTGTTGATTAAAAGTTACACCATTCCAGGCCCTTTTGTTTTCCACATAATTAATATTACCAATGATTAACACTTTCCGGGTCGAATCCGATACCGATGCCGATAGTATATGAATGTATGTATGCTACGTATAAGCCTCCTTTCATTAGGAGCACCACCATGAGTTATGGTGTAAAGGAGGACATTTAGCACACCGTATCGGCACATATTTAATGTAAACATTTGCCTACCAAGTTCCCAAAGACTTGCCGTGACGGGACTAACTAACAGAAAGTTAGACTTCCCCAAAATATGAATAAGTACAATGCAATAGAACATACGAACACACCCACTCACCTGATTCGCTCATCCTCAAAATTTTAAAAAGTGCATAATATATCCAAATAAGAGAAAATGTCACCCTGGATGCCGCACAAATTCCATGGCAACGAACGGGAAACCGGTATATGTCACATGTAGTTTCCGATTGTAGTAAGAAAACCAGGACAGAAAGAATTCGAAAGCAGATAAAAATGTGCACCTAATAATCAGCATGACTCTATCAGATGACAATACGAATACTAAGAAAACAGGTAAAAAATAAGGCGTAGGTACTTTTATTCAGTCACGGACCCGCGATGTCGCGGGTGTGTTCTAGTTTGTTTTAATAATCAGGTTAGCTATATTAATTTGTTGTCAATATTACCCTAAAGGTACCTTACATAAACTCCAAAGACATATATATATATATATATATTAGGGATGTCAACTAGGTGAAGATTTACTAATCGAGTATTCGTTGAATTTACCGAGCGATACTCGAATACTCGCTCTGACAAACATCTGCAAAATGGAAACACAAAATAATACCCATTTTACGTATTGTTGGTCGTTGTCATATGGACATAAAACAATCACCATTATTACCTGGGACTAGATCATAGTCCCAGAAATTTAATACCATAATTAATAGCTCATTTACTACATGTACTAATTATGTAAACTGGAAATAATCTAATCAGTTAATTAATAAATACCGATAGAAAATCGTTACTCAAACAACAGTTTTTGAAAATCGTAAAGAAACACATTTAATGATCAACAAAGGGGTGGTGATTAGAACTTACTGATGACTTTAACCATTTTCTGAGGGTCGACACGGGGTAACGAATTTGTTTTTATTTAGAAATATTATCTTGTCACCTTTTAACTGGGACGAGTCGATTTATCAACTTTGTTACGTAACTAACAGTCCTGCTGATGAAAATATTTGCACTGACGGTACAGAGGTGGTGGAATAACAAAGACACGATTAACTTAAAGTGTAAGCCATGGAAGGGGACTCTTGTTCATAGCTTAGACCTCTGTTAGGAGGAATTTTTTAATGACAATTACACGCAAACATTCGAAACGTATTTTAGTTTTGATTAATTTCGATTAATATAAAATTTCCCGGGAGGCATTCTTAATACAAATATTTTTTTCTTTAAGAAAGCAACACCATTCTATCAGGAAACCGATTAGTCGAGTATCATTTTGGTATTCGATACTCGATTAATCGAGTACTCGTTGACATCCCTTATATATATATATGATCAATGAAAAAAAAAATAATCACAAATAACCCAAATTTCAAAATCATGAATATACTATTGGGTACAACTTAGCTAGAATAAAATAAAACTAGAATATGGTTGACATGAATGTAAACTGAAAAAACTTAGTAACTCGATCACGAACGACCTCGTCGGCCAGGAACAACCAAACAAACCCAATATTGGTGTAAATATTTGTCAGAACCTAATGCGACAAGTCGTCTCAAGAGATATACTCGGACGTGTTAAGTTTTAAAAAACGTATCTTATACCTAGTGACGTAAACTAATGAAAAATTTAAGACGTGGACACTCACTCTATAATTTTAACGAAACTAAGGTTTCAACTTTCTCAGGCAAAGTTGGCCTTAGATGGATTTGGCTTTTTTCGAGGTCCTTTTTGGCTGTATAGCTCTTCAACTGTTTCGGTTCATATACATCCTTGGCTTTCAAATATTCAGCTTTGAGCGTTCATGATGAAGGTACATCCAGAAAAGCGCTTCGGATGCATGACATTTATAACTTGTTGTTTTTATTTTTTTATCAAGATGTTACAATTCTAATGTTAAAAAAACAACTCAATTATCTAAAAGGAAATCATTGAATAGGAATTAAACTACAAACTTTAAGTTCAGCATCAAATAAAAAGCATTGCAAAAGGGATTTATTAATTGAAGATGATTTACTATTAATTACCATATTTTTTTTAATTTGAAATAATGATGTAATTTGATTGTTAAATGCAATCAAGCTATTAAGTAACTTTGAGATTGATGCTATGCTTAATATGTATCATTTACCAAGTATACTAGGAAATTTTCAAATAAGATATTTTTATTCTTTATCTGAATTGTCAACAAATTTGTATATTTATTTCAAAACAACGAATGGTATGATATGGCTTTACTCTTTTAAGTAAATGGCCGAATTTTTTTATTCTTAGATTTATTGTTCATATAGTGCAAAATTATGTCATGATGATTATATAGAAGTTTTTTAAAACATAGTTTTACAGTCACATAATTTTTAATAGAAAGGCACTGCTTAATTAGCTAACATAACTTCCTTGTTTATTCAATAACTCTTGGGACTCCAATATGAATTTCCCAATATATACCTATACAATTCTAAATGTTGGAATAGCCAGATAAAAATCATCCAAAAAAACAACATAAAGTAAAAGTGCGGAAAATGAGTTAAAAATTGTGTTGAAAACAGTAATATTGGCTAAAAAGACAACATGGCCTGGAAGATACTTATACAATTATCAGTTCTAATTGGATTTTTCACAAAAGGTAGGATTTGTAAAGATTATCTATAAATGATAAATTTATTTATCAAAGTATCAAATGTTGATTGTCATAAAACATCTACAAAAGTTGTAATATTTACACATAAAACAATCAATATCAAGTCACTAACAAACTTATAACAACTAAATATTGCTATTTAAAGTTTCAAATCCATATATCTGTAAACCTGTAAAATATTTCTAAACAATGGTTGAAATATGCGTATAGAAATCTTCATAATTAGCTTCTGTAATTAATAATCTCTACCGATAAAAATATTTGCGTTTAAGAACAGTTATAATTCTAGATAAATCATATACTATGAAATTAAGTCTATGAGAATAAGAAAAACTTATGTAACATTTTACAAAAATAATCTTGGAAATCTGAACAGTTCATGATCTAATAAATGTTTCCTCAATATTAAGGATGTTTAAGTGATCAATAATCTAGAGAAGTTGGAAAATAAACTATATCGCAAATCATCATATAGCTCACACACAGGGAGGAAGTGTTTTTCATTGTCTACACGTCCACGATTGCAAAAAAACGCAGAGTCTTTTCTTCTACAGGTTATTTTGCGGCCTGGAGAACATTGTTCCTGGCAATCTCATAGGCCAATGGTAGTGCACCGTACCGAAACAGAGACATTGTTAGTCTTTCAGGCCAGGAAATATTTTGGCGAAAATACGTTTCAGTTTTTATATTTTTTTCTTACAAATTACATTAAACATTCCTACAATATATTTTACTACAGTTAAACCTGGGTAGATTTCAAAAGGAATCCAGAATTTGTAATTGTTAAAACTTGTACATAAAATGTAACACGTTATTAGAGAATTCTGTTTAGGAGCTTGGCAAAATACTCTGTAATTTAAACCCTTTAATAGCCATTTGATCCTAAAGAAACAAGGGTTCTAGTATATTGGGTAATTATTCTATATAAAGAAGTAGAATATACATTGTCACACAAATAATAACTTTAAATAATTATATTTGTTTTAATATCTGCACTTTCGTGAACTTCTTATAATAAAAGAAAATATAGAAATTATCATGAAAGACATAATTGAGGTTAAAACAAACGCCAAAAATATTGAAATACACTCTGTCGAGAGCAGGATAGTGCATGGCCGGAAAAAAGGTAGACAGATATAAAAAGCAAATATTTAAAACTTAATTTTGAGAAAACCGAACACCGGTTGAGCAGGGTAAAAATGATATGCTACTTTACAAAAGTTATTGGTAGTCGACTAGTCATTTCAGCCAGAAATGAAACGGAATCTAAGATAATTTGTGGCACAATTACCTGATATTTAAAATTTATCACTTCGTAAAAAATTCAGTAAAGACGTCTGTTCTCTTTCGAAGGAATTCATTGTCGAAAACAGAAGTTTATATGATGCGAATTAAATATAATATACCATACATAGGGGGAATAAGTTGTCTCCCTTATCAGGAAAAGAAAATTATTATTTGAAATTAAAATCATAACGTTTGTCATTTAGATATTGTTGTTAACAACCCTTTGTTAAGATATGAAGCAGACTGTTGTTTAAGTAGCTTCCGTTTCTAGCTTATTTACAGAGGAGATGTAAAAATCTATATCAGTGAAGGTTTAAACAGAACGCTGAAATATAATAAATTATAAATATAAAAATAAGTGTATAAACATCATATACACAACGTTACTTTCAAAACGCTTTCAGAAGATTGGCAAAAAAACATAGTTAAAGCAAATCAAGTCTCAAATCCAAAGCTTCCAAAACTTTTTCTTACATGGTACAAGTTATCTAAGAGAAGATGCTTTTTGCACCAAGCTCTTCTCACACGCAACACTGCTGAGTTAAGGTCATGTGGCTTGATTTGTTACTCATTGAATAAAACATATTTATAAGTACCAGCATGAAAAGTTTTGAAATATTTTCTTTCTACAGAAATCAGTGGAAATGATGACATGTATAGATGTCCAGAACATTTATCGAGAAACATTTATCTCAAAACATTGAACGAGAAATGCTATCGATACGAGAAGGGCGAATCATATTGGACGACAGCAAGAAGTCGGTGTAGGGGAGAAGGAGGCGATCTTATCCAGATCAAGAATCAAGCAACACAAAACTGGGTCATGTCTACGTTAAATGATCTCCATTGGAACACAAACGGAGTATGGATAGGAGCACATGACAGAGACAATGAAATGGATTGGCGATGGGTGACTGGTAAGTTATAGGATATCTAAAGAAAAACAAATTAGATAGATAATATTAGAATGAAATTTGTAGGTCAATCTCATTACAAGACTGCGACATGTTTTGTGGGCTGTTTTTTTTTTTACAAGACGGTTTTCGTATATGGTCATTGTATTGTCTTTTTTCTTCAACTTATAATTAAAATCTTACATGCAGGGTTTAAAGACAAAATACTTTGGATTCGTTATGATTCGTTAAATACTAATGTTTGTGGTTTTTGTGGCTACAATAGAACCATGCAATTTAAATGTTGAGCGAGTAATTTAATTTCTATAGAATTTTATGCAGACATTGCCAAACAACGAAATCAAATATACACGAAAATACAAGTTTTCCTCCACACCTCGAAAATTGATACCCATGAAAATAAATGAATCCACATTTGGCCAAAAATTGGCAATTATGCCATATCTTCTTATTTCTTTTCAATCTGGAAGAAGAGCACGAAGATAGCTTAGAACTTTCAATGAAATAAGGTTAAGCTCTTCATCACGAAGTATCTGATTTAGTGTACCAAATTGAAATCTAACTTTGTTACATATTTATACAGTCTACACAGTAAAACGACCACATTGGTGTTACTGCCGAGCGGAAGAAGTCCAAATGACAATATGTCTTTACCCCAGTCGACTCTAAGGAATACGTCTGTATAATGAAAGAAATTTCTATTTCATAGGTAAAACAAAGACACTGTTATTTTCTTCTATTAAGTTTGTATAAACTAACTTAAACACAAGGGATGTCTATGAGTCTCGATCACAAAATGACATCATTTTAGTCCGCCTGTTTAGGTAAAATTGACTTAGTGAAGCTAATACAAATGAAGAGATCACAATTTTATCTTCTAGTAAACTGAATTAAAAGATATCGATTGTCATAGCAGTTTAAATAGGAATAAAAAATACAATGAAAAGCACTTCTTTGTTAGAAATACTCTTGCTTGCTTTTAGAAGACAAAAGAGATTATCAATTAAAAAAATGACATTGGTTTATGATTCACTTAACGCACTCTTTTATTTCTTTAGGCGACAAGATAACTTGGAATTATTGGGGAAGTGGTCAGCCAAACTGTATCTTTATTTGTGTAGAGGACTGTGGGAATTTACGTCGAGATGATGGCGGTAGATGGCATGACTATTTATGCAGTCTAAATACATACTCATATATTTGCCAATACGGTAGGTAGCACATATTATAATCCTGTATTATTGAAATTCAAGGACAGTCTGCTAACTGAGGTAAATCAAGTTTATTCAGGATAGTCTCGTGTTAAAAAAAGTTCTTTTATTTTTTGAAGGAAACATTTGAATGAAAAATAACAGTTTTTCTCATCGGTGCAAATTTTAATCAAGCCAACGTAATATCACCCTTGTGGTTTATATTTTTAGGACATTTCAATGCAATATTTTAACATAAAGTATTTAAGATGTCTTCAAGGAGTAGGTTCGATAAGACCATAATTTGACCCCCTATTTATAGTTAAAATTTTGAATAAGGATAGATTGACCATTATCATAATAATTCATAGCTAGTTAGGAAATAGGTTTTAATTTGTTGAAATTTTACGAATCTGTGTTGTTTGTTTTTTATGACGTCACAATTAGTTTTTAGGAGCATAACATACAGCGCATACGTCGACAAAAAAAGAACTTTTGTTATAATGTTTTGTATGTTTAATTACGGCCATAAAACCAGGTTTAACTTACCATCTACTTTGGAAATACCTGTTCTAAATCAGGAATATGACACTTGTTTTTCAGTCGTCTGTTGGTTGATAAAATCTAGCGTTTGATTTTTCAGGTTTTCTAGACTTTCCTTTATTTTTAATTTACCTTGGAATTTGGTATTTGTGATGATATTTTTTTTTTAAATGTCTGACTTGAATTTTAGGTGTGCCGAACCCTACGCTCTGTGCTTCCTAGACCAGAATTTAGTTGAACCATGACGATGTTTTAAAATTTCACAAAAATCTTCCTTTTTTGGTCGATTTAGGTGTAAATGTCAACACATTATAAGAAAAGATCGACGTGAACAATTTTATTTTTCTCTTTCGTATATGTCTATTTAAACCCACAACATACCATTGTACCTACCAGAGGTCAGGTTGTTTGTCAAAGGTTGACAGTTTATATTACAGAAAATGTCCCAAAAGTAGTTTTGATTCCGTATCCTTCGTAATCTGCAGTAATTGTATTCTCAATTTATATAGTCTCGAACCAATTTATAACTTGATATAATTATGTAATGGATCTCTTGTTTATTGTTGGAAGAGTTTGAAATAAATATTGATATCCAAATATTGTCTGCTTAATCTCACATGCGTCGAGAGACGCAGAATGCAAGATATATAGATTACTATCCAGCAGCGTCGGCGTGAACTCTTTGTATTTAAAATTTTATATTTCAGAATGTTAAAAACCTGGATGCTTTATACCTTGTATGTAGTAACCGTGTTTTAAAGTTTCCATCTGTCATGTATCCTTTGTCCTTGACCTCATTTTCATGGTTCAGCGACTGCTTAAAAAAAGTTTTGTTTGTCATTTCAAATACTCACTTATTATGAGTAATAGGATAACTAGATTTGGTATTTTGATTCCTTGCAAGGCCTACATGTCTGTCAGACAGGGTTCACCGGATATCGACCTCATTCATGTATCCGTGATCAAGGTTTAAGTTAAGTGATTATGTCCATTTTGCCGATACCATAAGTAGAAGGTCAATTATATGTGGTGTATGGAATGATTGTAAGGTTTACATGTCCGACTGACGGGTTTAAGCTGACCTTGACCACATTTTCATGATTCATTTGATAATGTTACGTTTGCATTGTTTTGTCCTTTAATTAAATACTAAATGCAATAGGTCATTTATGTTTGGTGTATGTAATGATTGTAAGATGTACATGTCCGTCTGGCAGGGTTGATCTGGCCTTGACTTCATTTCCATGGTTCATTAGTTAATGTTTAGTTTTCATGGTTACATCTATTTCTCAGATATTATACGCAATAGGTCAATCATATTCTTTGAATTAAATGATTGCATTTTGTACATGCTGTCTAGCAGGGTTCATCTGACCTGCACCTTATTGTTCAATGGTCAATGTTCAATGTTCCTACTTAGGTCTGTGTTCGCAGATACTATAAGCAATAGGCTAATTAGGTCTTTCCACTTTTCCGTGGAAAGACCTATTGCTTTTGTTTTGATTATTAGGTCTTTCCACCTTTCCGTGGAAAGACCTTTTGCTTTTGTTCTGATTATTATTAGGTCTTTCCACTTTTCCTTGGAAAGACATAGTGCTTTTGTTCTGATTATTAGGTCTTTCCACTTTTCCGTATTCTCAATTTTTATTTTGGCTTATTTTCGCTTATTTTCAATAACCGTATAAGATATCGACAAATTATTTTTACTAAATTGTTAGTTGCGACTTGTCGTAACATGTAAATTTTGATTGCGAGGGTACGTTTACCGTAAATGGGAATTTTTCCCTTTCTATATTTAAAATTACATGTATGGTGGTATACCTCATTTACCAAGTATAATAAAGACGTAGGGTAATTTGATTTATGGTCCTTGGTTTATGACCTTGAAATTGAGCTCAAGGTCAAATTTGAATTTGACGTTCTAGATTTTGACCTTTGCTTTAACTTTATATTTAAACACGATAAAGCCATGGGACTTTTGTCATTAGGTTGCAATTTACATGACCTTGAAAATCCAACGGAAATGACCTTGTGTAAACCAGAAGTAGCTTTTTTTTTTTTGCATTTCTAACTTGTAAACCATAAGTGATAGAGACCTAGGGTCTTTTGATTTGAGGTCCTTGGTCCAAAAACAGAAAATTAGGACAAGGTCAAAGGTCAAAGTCATATTCTAAATTTTTATTTTGGCTAATTTTTCTTCTTTTCAAAAACCGTACAAGATATCAACAACATATTTTTACTAAATTGTTAGTTGCGACATGTCATTACTCATACATTTTGGTTGAAAGGATACACTGATATTAAATGGGAGTTTTCTCCCTCTTATATTTAAAATTGCACATATGGTGATATTACTCATTAACCATATATAACTAAGAACTATGGTCTTTTGATTTTGAGGACCTTGGTTTATGACCTTGATATTGAGCTCAAGGTCAAAGGTAAATTTGTCGTTCTAGATTTTGACCTTTGCTTTAAATTCATATTTATACATCACAAAGCCAAAGGACTGTGTGCATAAGGTTACCAGCCATATGACTTTGAAAAACAAACCGGAAGTGGCTATTTTTTGTACTTATTCTTGTCAGAGTATATAGAACAATATATTTGACTTTTTTCATTAGGTTGCAATTTACATGACCTTGAAAATCCAACGGAAATGACCTTGTGTAAACCAGAAGTAGCTTTTTTTGTACTTATTTGATGTAAAAGTATATAGAACCATATAATTTTAGAATCAGTGTCAAGCTAACTATCAAATAATATAAGAAGTGATATTTTTCAAACCGGAAGTAACAAATTATCTCCCTTATTTAAAAAATTGTATAGAAACCATATATTTTTGGAATCAGCGTACAATAAGCTATCATTTGTTGTTGGAAATGATTTTTTAAAATCGTATTTAAATAATTTCATATCAAAATAGATCTTTACTTGTGGAAAGACCTTCATTTGTTCTCTGAACAATTGGTTTTTAATTATAATTGGTATACATGTATGGTATCACTGTAATGCGTAAATATCTCTCTGGCAGGGTTCATTTGACCTTGATTTCATTTACATAGATTTTAAATAATGTTAAGTGTATGTGATACTTGAAGTAAAACCTCCATATTACAGACTTTCAAAATAAATTTAATCATGAATCAAGTAAAGCAGGTGAGACATTTTAGCGTGTGCACTCTTGTATTGTGTTGTGTTTTTTCTCTCTATATCAAGCTGAAGATTAAAAAAAGATTAATGAGTTTTCCTGTTTCTGGTAGACTATCAAAATACTATCAAAATACATCACATAGTGCTAAGGCTTTGTGAAGATAAGAAAACAACAGAAAATATAAAACTTTTAATGTTTACATCGCTGCTTTTTCCTACATGTCAAGAAGGTGGGAAAACGATATTCTAAGAAAAAAAGAGTTCATATTTGTTAATGCTTTGTATTTCAATCAATCCATTTATATGCGACAAGATAAATAAAGAATATATGAGCTTATGATATTATTTGTATCCTTGAACGGGATATAACTTACCGGCATCCTACACTATTTTTAATTAGAAAACGTCGATGTAAGGTCACGTAACGTAATGTAATCGGGTCACCTGTTTTTGAATTTCCAATTATATCATGCAGTAAAATAAAGTTTCATCTTTTCTTGACTTGAGGAAATTTGAATCGTATATAAAGAAAAACATAACAAGTAGATTTATTCACGTAAATTTAATAATGTAGGTAAAAATCTCGTTTAAAATCGCGTTCTAAATTCACACAATTATCTTTTAGATTTCATTGCATTGATTTGAATTAAAACTAATTCTCAAAGGGGCCTGAAAATAAATGCTATATCATTATAGGCATTTATAAGTGCAGTGTCTATATTTTTCTCTAATTTATTACCAATACAGGTTGCAGCATAACCACATAGTTTTTGGGGTTAATCTCATTGTTTCATATCAAAGGGGACATATGAACATACTTATGGACATTTACCGGTATATGTAAATCAAGCAAGATATGCCTGCCCACTTAGACCCCAATAGTTTCTCATCCTATGTTCTCTCTTAGTTTTTTTTTTTTTATCTATGACTATCTATTTTGATTAATTTCAAAAGATTAACCCTCCCCCCCCCCCCCAAAAAAAAAAAGAAAAAAGAAAACGATATGATAAGTTTCAAGATAACTTTAATAGATGAACATACATGTGAAAAATTGGATAAATGAAAATTTTTATAAAAATCGAAAGTTACATAAACAATAAATGACAATAATTCTGTTATTTTGCAGAATATAGCAAAATATCTTGCCAGTGTAATTTGAATCTATGTTTAGTTTATAAAAATGCAAAAAAATCACTTTGACCCTGGTTCCTCCATTAGACAAATCTCATGGCTGGTCACATATTTGTATTCTTGAAGGGATATAACTTACCGGCATCCTACACTATTTTCATATTTTAGAACTTATGATAGTTTATTTATTCATTAAAATTTGTCGTTGAACTGGCGTTCCGTAACTGTTATTACTCTTAGATCGGTACTCTGTGTCTTTTGTATTGCATTTGTTTGTTTATTTGCTTTCTGCTAAGTACCAATTAGATTGGTAAAGACCTCTTTAACTTATTTTTACAACTTGTTCTAATGTTTAATGGTTTTTTCCTGTCTTAAGTAAGGTTCGGATTGATCGAGCACTAACGTTTAACTCAACCAAATGCATGTGTCTGTCCCAAACCAGGGACTGGTAATCAATTTTTTTTTTCGTTGGTTGTTGTCTGCCATTATATTGTTGTGAGTGTAAATCAGGTCGTCGGTTTTCGCTTCTGAAATGTTGCACATTTTGTCAACTCGGTGGTCTTTTATAGCTTACTATACAATATGATTTTTGTTCATTGATGAGAACGTCCGGTAACCTGTTATTGTTATCATCTTTGATTTTTACTTATACATTTGTTCTTGTCTCATTGGCAATCAAACCAGATCTCCCCCTTTTTAATATAAACCAAAACCAGTGAACCTTACAGTATCAGTTAACGTAAAATCATTTTGAGCAGAAAATATGAAAATATAAATAAGAAGATGTGGTATGAATGTCAATGAGACAACTCTCCATCCAAGTCAGAATGTATAAAAAGTAAACAGTTATAGGTCAAAGTACGGCCTTCAACACGAAGCCTTGGCTCACATCAAACAGCAAGCTATAAAGGGCCCCAAAATGACTCAAAACAATTCAAACAGGAAAACAAACGGACTAATCTTTACAAAAAACGAGAAACAATGTTTGCTTGTTATTTGGTATCTAAAAAGTGACTGAAGTCTGACATGGAAAAAGGTAAAATAGTTTATGCTGATAGTATATATATTTTATGAAATTTCAATACAATAATACAAAGATTATCTGCGCTTATTTCAAAGTAACAGCCTAAATGCTGTTCACATTCCGTTAGTTGATTGAGTTGATTTATGTTAAAAAAGTTTTCATACTTCATACATTTTCCATCCAAATGCACAAGAGATATACAGTAAAACCTCTTTAAGTTTAATGACAAAATGATACCTTTTTAAAAAGTATTTATTTGTAAAATTTTAGACATGAGACCAGCTACAACAACGACAATACCCACAACCACAACAACGACAAAAACGACACCAACAACAATGACGAATACAACGACTCCTACAACAGTTACTGTCAATCAACAAGGTTTGTTCTTACAAACGAATGTTATTTTCATTGACATAAAAACCTCAATAAATTAAATCGAGTAATATAAGATAATACAGAATTAAACAAATAGCATCCAAAAACAAGCAACATTGCTTGATTAGATTCAACATGTAACTATCTGTCGCTTCTAGAACCTTTTTGTTTTTTATTTTGTTACATTTTTAGAAATTATCAGACAACATGGTAACTAATTTTATATAAGTAGATAATTTTTTTTTAAATTGTATTTTTCGAAAGTCATAAAAAAACTTTATTCGATTATATTACAGGTGAACTGTCATGGATGATAGTAGCAATTGTGTTAGGAGCTATAGTATTATTGATGCTTTTGAGTGTTTGTTTCTTCAGAATGTAAGTAGATTGATGTTCGAACAAATCCTGAGTTTTTTCATATAGCTTGTCAAAATTCAAAATTTATCTAGTTAAGCTTGAATATAACAAAGTCGAAATAATATGTATTTTGTGTTTTTGTTAGATGTTTTTCTGCTTTGTATCGATCAGATGACTTAAGCATCTTTCAACTGATATTTATAGTTTGTTCTTATGTTTTGCTGTCAACAACTGTCCCAGGTTAGGAGGAGGTTTGAGCGATCACAAATATGTTTAACCCCGCTACATTCTTAATGTGCCTGTCCCAAGTCAGGAGCCTGTAGTTCAGTGTTTGTAGATGATTCATATCCGTCATATTTGTTTTTCGTACATTGTTTTGTTATAAATCAGTTTTCTCAATTGAACTGTTTCATATTTTTATGTTGGGGCATTTTATAGCCGACTATACGGTATGGGTTTTTGTCATTGTTGAAGGCCGAACGGTTGCCTATACTTACTAACATCCACTTCATTTGAACTTTGGTGGATATTTGTCTCATTGGCAATCATACCACATCTCCTTATTTTTATCTGTATGCAATTGAAGTATATAATTTCAAACGGAAAATAGCATTATGTTCTTACTTGTGGAACTTGCAAGCTGCAATATGTTGGCGAAACAGAAAACAAATTTAACCAAAATTGGGACTTCAAGGTAGTAAACAGATAAAGAAGTTTTACATGCCCCAGCTACGTACTCATGAACAAGATGGACTGAACGAGAAAGATGAAAAGCGAATCATTATATACCAAAGGAAAAAATCTTCATGCAATTTATCAACATGAGAGGTAATAATCAACGGTCATTTTATACCAAAGGAAGAAACTGCCTAATCACATGAATTATTTTGAAAACATCCCCTATCAAATGATAGAGGAAAACCAAAATTGGGACACACAAGGTAGAAAACAGATAGGGAGACTTTAGATGTACCAGCTACGTACTGTTGAACCCGAGATGAAAAACCGTTTAACTATAAACCACAGGAATAAATCTTCATACGATTTAAATAACAAAATTAGATTTCCTTAAACGAAATATACAATAAGTTGTAATAATACCTGTTTAAGCAAAATGTACGATAAGCTGCTAACACTTCTTAACACTATCAGATTTCACCTGGATGGCTACATGCGCCACTCGCTGGATACGGTGCAGGCGGTGGTTCCATAATATCACAGAAGCATGGGTTCGAATCCCACTGAGGGAAGAAAAAATTTGCGTTAGATCTAACATTGTAGGGCTAAATTTGAGACGAATTATATGTTTATTATGGTGTTAGCCCTGTTTACCACGTGTTATTTGATGGAGAATGTCTGTCATAAAGTTATCACATGTTTAGACGTGTATAATTAAATTAAAAATTTGATGTGGCGGGATGGTGAGTAACATTATCGTCCTTCACGACAAACAAAATAGCTGATCTGAAAGGTACACCATTTACTTCCCACTATACATCATGTACTGTGTAACAACCCTAGATAAAGCCGACGAGGAAAGGCATTACTCGACCTATATATATATATATATATATATATATATATGAAAAAAATAAGGCTGAAAATGCACTTAATATTTGTATTCAATATGAATAATCACATTTTGCCTATTAAGACATCAAATTGTTTTAAAATGTTCTTCATAATTTCCTATCGGTTTCATTGTTTTACAGATATTCATGGATATGGTTTCTTGCGACGTCGTCAGGGGTAACGTCTTTTATCGACATAATTATTAAATCCTGAACGTCATAATATAGTACAACGTAGGTACTAAAAACGAAAGTGAAAGTAACAATATAGAAACGCCATCCGGATTTTCATTTATCGATTTAATTTTGGATGGTATTTCTTAATGAAATAATTTTCTTTATTAATTCTCATTGGTTCCGTTGCTTTATCTGAACACTGATAAAATGAAAAAAAAAATAGAAATTTGGATGAATTGTTATTTTAAAATAAAGTTCTACAATTGTCAAGGACTTCATATGTAATGGTCTAATCTATATAAAAAACGAGAAACGAGAAATACTTATGCATCACATCAACATACGACAACTACTGAACAACAGATTACTGACTTAGGACAGGTGCAAGCAATTGCAGCGGGTTTAAACGTTTTAATGGTATCAAACCTTCGCCCTTATCTGAAACAATAGTGTAACATCACAACATAGATAGATACACTATAAAATATCAATTGAAATGGCTTAACTCAACCAAAAGACATATTAACACCAGTGAACATACACTGAACAAATAAATTTGATCTATGTTACAATGTAAATACAAAATAAATAAACTAAGGGAAGAATAATTAAAGTAACATGTTATACCGCTGTGAAATGTTAAACAATTTAAGAAAAACAATATGCTTGAACAAAAATATCAGCCATTTGCAATTACTTTAAACACAGGTAAATGAAAATATTTTTGTTATTAGGTATACGTGTACAGTTCAAATGGAGAAAAGAAATATTTTTACAAAATAAATAATGTTGATAGTACGAAGAAGTGAAAATTTATAGTATACCAAACACTTATCAAAGCTGGTATATGGACCAAATATAACCCCGAATAAGTAAACATTAAATAACAAAAAAGCATTACAATTAGTATCAACAGGTCAAATAAACAAGAAAGTGCGATTTGAGAGTACTCGCAGTACTGACAGCTAGTTAAAAGCCAAAAACAATTAATAATAAAAAATCATGCATCAGAGACTAAAATAATCTAAAACACATCCCAGGGATTTAGTATTTTAACGTCATGAACAGTCAAAGAAGACATGACTTGTGCAATGCCAAAAATAAATGTATCGACCGGCAGTAAAATAGTTAGGAGTTAACCTCTTTATAGATCAAAATGAACGTGGATGTGTCTTTATACATCCCGTTTGAAAAGAATACAAATTTAGTTATGTTTGAGTTTGCTGATGACAAAACCTTTATTAGTGCCAATGTAAACTGTATTCAAAGATCTAATTACAACATTGGTAAGATAACCTTTACTAAATAGTTTATTTAAAGGTTCGATAAGTTTACACGGATCACATAGTGATTTCCGCGCTTTAAGTACAATATTACCTTAAAATTTAGGATGTGAAATACCTTTTTTAATCAGTTTTCTACAGGTTCAGCCAAATTTACTAATCAAATCTTTGTATCTATGAAATATTTAGTAAACGTTTTACGTAATTTCTGGTTACGAAATCCCTGACTTAATAATTTACCAGTGATGCATTGATTACGTTCGTTAAAATCTATGACATCACTACACACACGCATAAAGAACGAGTTGGGATAAATAAACACCGAATGATGGAGCCAAAGGAACATCGCCGTCTAAAAAAGGAAAATTACCAATAGGGAATGAAAAGTCGTCTCTTTTGTCGTAAATTTTAGTATGGAGTTTTCTTTTAGAGATTGAAATGTCCAAATCTAGAAAAGGACAACTGTTGATGTTTCCTTTATCTTTCGCCTTTTTTAAAGAAACTAATTAAGTCATACGCAGCAAATAGTTTAACTTATACCACATACATTTAGTATACATTTCAGGATTTGTAGGTGTAACAATTGTTCAGTAAAACTTGCTTGTTATTTACAAAACATAATTCATCTTTAGCTAAACTTTCACGTAAAAATCATTATAATGATTTGAATTATTTTAATATTAATCATTTTGATAGGCACTAATAATTCATATCAGCTCAAAATAATGAAACGAACGATAAGTATCATGTTTTCTCAACTTATATATTTACATCATAGCTTGTTTTAACTCCTTTTTACTTTGAAAATATTGTACTAATATATCAAACTTAATAATTTTTACCTTTTCAGGAGAAAAAAGAAAAGTGACATAGATAAGAGCGTGTTCTCGTCAAATTCCAGAATCAGTAAACATGAACGAAGCTTAAATGATCCGGTCCAAACCGGAAATCAAAACGTATGTGCAGAACCAAATGAAATTGCCACATGTCAAGCTAAACTACCAAACGTTTCCGTAATTGACAAAGAATGCGGCCATTATTACGAAATATTGGAACAAAAGATGGATGACAAGTTAAATGTCTATCTACAAAAATATGATAATGATGAATATGAAAATTGTAATAAAACGTCAAAAAAACAATATGAAGAGTGTGGAAACGTTGATGGTTCAGATAACTCGCCTTATTAATATATTGATATGCATGGGGCAGCAAAAATTGGAGAGTCCTTCGACAGAACATGACTATTTCTACGCTAAGAACTAAAATCAGGAGTATACTATGAACTAAACAATGCAAAAAGACAACCATTTGGTTTGGATGATATCCTTGTCAACTGTGATGGCGATTAAGATTTGGCAAAACCTCCAAGTGCATACAATAATAATCTCTAAAGCATAATCTAATTCTTCACTCTGAAATTCACTTTTAGAAAAGTGAACAATGTTAACACGAAAATTCAAAAGTTAAAGATTTGAAATTGTCAGTTGTAAGGTGTTATATAATTTTACAACGATTTTCTAAAAAGTGGTATACTCGGTAAAAAATACTGATGCTTGCTTGAAAAATAATACTTATAATATAAGCTATAACCAATGATTTTAGCATCTTTCTGATAAGTTTAAGCATATAAATTATGCACAATTATTTAAATAATCAATTTGTTTTGTCATGATGATATAGTGCTAATTTGTGTAAAGTATATTGTTTAAATATATTGATGCATTAATCTGATTTTTTGGGTTAACTTTCATACTTTTTTTAATTTTCACTTCAGATTCATGATCGTCAATAGATTATTTAATTATTTTTTTCTATAATGGACATTTATTGCCATTGTTTTATAATTGTTTTCTATTTTTGAGTTGCTTATATCTGCTGGCAGAGTTTCACTTGGCATTGCCTTAATGATAAATGATCATTCATTGCAGCGACTCAAAATAAATATAAACTAAAAAAAACCGTCTGGCCACCCAAGAATATTAAATGGTCATGCTGTCAAAACGGGATGTATTGTATATTGACAGCCTTATATTTCCATGTTCCATGTTTGTTTATTCTACATTGGCTAGAGGTATAGGGGGAGGGTTGAGAGCTCACAAAACATGTTTAACCCCGCCGCATGTTTGCGCCTGTCCAAAGTCAGGAGCCTCTGACCTTTGTTAGTCTTGTATGTTTTTTTAATTTTAGTTCATTTATATGTTTTGGAGTTTAGTATGACGTCATATTTTCATTGAACTATTACACATTTTTGTTTAGAAGCCTGCCTCCGGATGCGGGCTTTTCGCTGTGTTGAAGACCCATTGGTGGCCTTGGGCTGTTTTCTGCTCTTTGGTCGGGTTGTTGTCTCTTTGACACATTCCCCATTTCCATTCTCAATTTTATCCTTTCTTAATAAATATATAAAACCTTTTAATAACACTCATGTTGCAAATGTAATGGTCTTCCTGACATAAAGATTTTGGGAACAATTGGAATGCAGTTGACTTGGGAACAATTGGAATGCAGATGACTTAGAAACAATTGGAATGCAGATGACTTGGGAACAATTGGAATGCAGATGACTTGGGAACAATTGGAATGCAGATGACTTGGGAACAATTGGAATGCAGATGACCAAATATTTGCTGCAAAGAGAAATATGTGTATTTTTGTTTTTTTTTAAGGTAAATGTCGGATTTTATAGGAATTGTTTGAATGTTTCAAAAAGACCCTCTACAGTCTTTCTATTTTTCCAAGGATTAAGCATTTTTTTTCAAGTAATGCCTTTAAATATTTGGTATGAGTGAGCTTACCTTTTTTGCTACTTTTATAATGAAAGCTATTACTTAAGCTCTTATTAAAATGCATAATATTTAGACTTGATTTGTGTTTTTCTATCATATCAATGTATTTTTACATATATTTAGTAGTGTTCAAGAGCTCCTTATATAATGCTTAAAAAAATAAATAGAAAAAACAGCCTGATTTATTAGGAAGTTAGAGATTAGTTTTTAATGCCTTAGTATGTAATTTAATGAAAATTGTTAAATATAGCAGCATTAAACCAATTTCATTTAATGTAAAACTTCTAATTCTGGTTATCTAACGTTATTGTTTTAAAATGTTTTAATGTATACACGTTTTGATTGAACAAATCATTAAATGATAGGTCTGAATTGATAATACGTTTCTTTTAATTACCAAACAACGAAAAGCCATGACAATTGATCATCCTCGGATAATAAGAACTACACAGAATTAATGAAATCAAAATGTTTCTTTCCAGCATTAAAGGCTGGAATAATTTATATTTTGGCTTCATTAATAATTATATGATAATTTTGAATCATGATGGATTATTTCACCAGTTTGTCATTTGCAACAGTTTTCAGTTATTGAACAACATTAAGCTACATTCTTAGTTCCCGAATTTTAAAACTGGTATCTTTGATGAATTTGTTTTTGGCAATTCAAATGCATAATTCTGTAAATTGTAGTAATAACTTCAGATCAATCATAAAATGTTTCAAACGCGTGATACTTTCATAACAAAAATTTCGATTTCAATTATATATTAATGATGTGTTTTTATTCACTGTATTAAAGCGTAAATGTGTTATAAACAACTGTTCAAAGAAAACACAACTAAATGATTCAGTACTTGTTAAAACATATGAAACTTTTGATTTTGGTTATTTTGGATTTCTAATTTTCGATTCCAAAGAAAAGGAATAAATTTTAGGTCAAGTGTCTTGTACTTAATATAATACAAACAGTAAAATGTCAATACATTTTTTGAAGTAATATATTTAAAGTAGATGGCAAATAAAATGCAATAATTTACTAACCAAGATAGAACAGCACTTTTTTTTGCATAAGTTACTTCGGTACTGACATGATTTATAACAAACTTTTAAAATTGCCCGTTTATAAATTTTGAAATTATACAGAAGCTAAGGTTTCAACTCCATCAAGCAAAGTTGGCCTTAGATGGATTTGGCTATTTTTTAGGTCCTTGTTTTATTATAGCTCTTTAACGTTTTCGGTCCTTAAACATAATTGGCTTTCAAATATTTGGCTTTGAGCGTTCCTGATGAAGGTAAATCATGAAAAGCGCTTCGGACGCATGAAATTTATAACGTGTTGTTTTCATTTTTTTACGTCGTTTCAGAGAAGAAACTTGATTTGTATTTTGTTCGTGTAGCTTTACAATAAAACAAATTACTGTTATTTGCAACAGTACAAATTGAATGAAAAGACAAGTGTTGCAAAGTCAATTAACAAATTACAGAAACATTCTCATTCTACATATAATCCCTACACTTGGCTCTATTTGCAGAAAATTAAAGAGATGACAGATACAATTTTGAATGTTACATTTAAGAAGACTCATCTCATTTTACTCAACTGCTGGTCAAATTTTGAGTAAAATGTCAAAATTGACTTAAAATAGAGATTTTTGTGACAATAGTCATAACAATATATTTTCGTAAAATAATTTGCTTTTTAGGAAAAACAACTTGTGCCAACGTCAAGAGTTCAGACTCTCATATCAAACTACACATTTAGATTTTTTTTTAGTCCTTGATCTGAGGCTCAATAATCGATTGTAAAAATATAAAGCCTTTCAAATACATTTTGCATATGCTTTGTAGTCAAAGGATAAATACAATATACCAGCACTGTCTCCAAAAAAAATTTCAAATTGGAATTAACTTCCAAATTATTGGACTGTAATGATAGAAATTTTGCATAAAACCTTTATATGTAAGAATTCCATTTTTTTGTATATTTTGAAAACGTATAATATGCTTATGTCCAATAATAAAAGTTGTGACCATTTCATTTATTTCTGTTTTCATTTATTCCTGGGATTTGTGTTTGAAGTATAATCGACGTTTCAGGGAGCAACCCCCCAAATCCAACCCCTACCAAACCCCCCTCCCGTGTTCTAACAATATTCTTACACGGTGGCTGATAATTTGAATTTGATTTTTGATGCCAGATCTTCGGTAGTCTTTTTAATTCATTAACACATTTACTAGATTTTGGTTGATCATTAAAAACAAACAGGTTGTTTTGTCGAATAAAATGCGAGTAATTAATGTGTACAAAAGTGAAAAACAAATTTTCAAGCGGCTAAACTGCGCAAAATTATAAACAAGACTCGGTAAAGATGAAAATTTATATCCATCAGGAAATATCCTTTTAATTCTAGTTGATTAATTCAATTTGTATATGTCGTAGATAAAATCAAAATACTGATCAAGAATCTGTGTTTACTGAAGAGAATTAAAACGTTTGGCTCAGGAAAAAGGATGTTTCCTGTCTTATTTTCTCTAATTGTTACGTAATTAGATGATTTTGACGGAGGCATTCATTTTAACAGTCCAGTCCATTGAAAGTACACTTATAGTTGGTAGAAACATTTAGTTAGAGAATTGATTCTAAATTTGCATAGAGTTTTCGTTTTGTTTGGTAACTTTGTCTCAGTTTTTCGACTCATTTTTAATATTATTTGAAAGTCTTGATGGCTTAACAAAATTTTTGTCTTTACTTAATCCTTGATGATAAACGAAATGCAGATACAACAGGAATATACTGTAAAATAAATAAATAATCTGTTAACACTGAAATATTAAAGACAGTTTTAAAGGAAGAAGAAACATATCGTTAATTGGGCAAAACATTTAATAAATTGTACCACAGATATGGGGATGTATTGAAGAAGGAAGAACTATGTTCAAGGAAATTTTGGAAACATTCAATTTTCCCGAAACCTGAAAGTTGTGTACAGAAATAAATAATAAGAAGGAAAATTGAAGACAATAACGTAAGAAACTGTAACTCTCCGAGCTGGAAACATAATTTTTCTTACATACAAATTGAATCTTTTCCTATCACTTTTGTTAGAATGATATTGGAATATTTCGTATTATCAATTTTTTCCTTGGGTGTCTCCTCAATTTGAAAGTCATAAATATTTTACTTGTCTACTTATCCTGGTCAATATACCCATATTGAATAATAACATGGAATATATGTGTCTTTCATTTTAAATTTGAAAATTTATGAACAGTAGAATATAGATTTGCCCAAAATTTCATGAATAGAATTTACCTAGTCTAGACAGTTGTTGAAGATTCTTAGCAGGGTGTCGTTACTTATTGAGTTACTAATCTAAGAATTCAAATATAGAAAACATTCAAAGAGTTACCGATCAACGCATTGATTTACGAATTAGCATACCGCATGATTTAACTTCCAGTTTTGTTCAGTCACAAATTTTTCGATAATCAAATTTTTGCATTAATAATTATTTTTATTACATTGGCGTTTTAATGAAATTACATTTTGAAATGCAAGGAACAATATATTTTTCTGCGCATTCGCAACATCATCGACAACGTCTTGACAGAACCAAGTGTTTCATGTCGTCTGCTTCAGGATTGGAATTATCGGATTTATTCAACACGTGAAGTTATCACTTTTTATTTTACTGGGAAATCATGCTACTTTCATTGGAAGAAATTTCCGTTTATCATTGCACAATTTTTAATTGGTGTACCAGAAATTTGTTTTAAAAAGTTTCTAATCAAAGGGGCATTAGCCGTCAAATTCATGTTCATCGATTTGACTCAAATTCTCATATTTGATTTACAACATATATATACTAATACTTCCAAAATGATTAAAAGTCTAAAACAAACAATTTACGGTCATATAACCCGATATAAACATAAAGATATAAATAGATAGCGAACACGTGCAATTAGTTTTTTCTAGGTTTGTTTGATTTCATATTGTAGGTTAAAAAAATATGTTAATCATCGTTGAAGGTCAAATGAATATGGATTCAATGAAGCCGAATTATTCACTTGCAAATGAATAATTCATCAGCGATGTATCTTAAAATTGAGAATGGAAACGGGGGATGTGTCAAAGAGACAGCAACTCGACCAAAGAGCAGAAAACAGCTCTAAGCCACCAATGGGTCTTCAACACAGCGAGAAAATCCCGCAACCGGAGACGAGCCTTAGCGGGCCTCTAAACAAAAATGTATTCTGATTCAGAGAAAATGGACGTCACACTAAACTCCGAAACATATAAAGGCAACAGTAGTATACCGCTGTTCGAAATTAATAAATCGATTGAGAAAAAAACAAATCCGGGTTACAAACTAAAACTGAGGGAAACACATCAAATATAAGAGGAGAACTACGACACAACAGAAACACAACATTAAAATTTAATACACACAGAAACGAACTATAATATAACAATGGCCATTTTCCTGACTTGGTACAGGACAGTTTAAGAAAAAAATGGTGGGTTGAACCTGGTTTTGTGGCTAGCCAAACCTCGCGCTTTTATGGCAATGTAAAATATAACATTAAAATGACAACATTACATGACAGGACTACAATACAAATAAATGGGAGTGACGCTCAGATCAAAAAAGTACGAAAGCCAAAACAAGTACAAAGTTGAAGAGCATTGAGGACCAAAAGTCCAAAAAGTTGTGCGAAATACGGCTAAGGTTATATGTCTGGGATAAAAAAATCCTTAAAATTTAGAATAATTCATACTTTTGCAAGCAGTAAATTTATAAAAATGACTATATAATAGATATACATGATAACACCGAAGTGGTGACTAACTTCAGAATAAAAACGGATACATAAAACAACATAAACCAGCACATAAAAATTCATAGCCGAGTTAGCCAAAGAGATCAACGCTAAAAAAAGGGTGAGGTCACATTTGAATTTCTGAAATTTCCCCAAAATAGTATACAATTAGGATAGAATTCAAGATTTGGTTTATAATACTCATATATCATTTATCAATAATAATGAAAATTACAATACTAATTAATATAAAATGTGGTAGTTATAAGATAATTAATAGTATTATCTAGCTATGTCGGTGTTTCTTTTAAATCAAACTGTAAACCAAATATATCGTATAAATTTACCAAAATAAATAAATAAATGAACCAAAATTAAAAAAAAACTATACAAGACTAACAAAGGGCAGAAGTTCCTGACTTAGGACAGGCGCAAAAATGCGGCGGGGTTAAACATGTTTTGTGAGATCTCAACCCTCCCCAATACCTCTAGCCAATGTAGAATAAACAAACACACAGCAATACGCACAATTAGCCTATTTTGACAAAATTGAACGAAGCTGGCTGCTAAATGCGAATTATTATTTTAGTATTTCACTTTCAATAATGATTGAACAAAAAAAGTCGTATTTTAATTTTGTTTTATATCTCGTAGCTAATGCCCTTTTAATACTGACTTAAGACCATGAAACGAATCAACGAATAATTTAGAACTTTGACTTTTCATCTCTCCCTCCCTCTCTAACTGTCTTTGTGTAAGTATGTACTTTAGTTCCTTTCTGGCATTTTGTTCCACTGATTTTTTTCATACGGCAACATTTTCCTTCATGTTTATCACACTATCTTCACATTGTACTTTGGATAGCTGAACATTATTTGTCTAGTCAGAAAAATCTGCTTCGTATCAATTTAGTTTAAAATTTCATATACGTGTTTCTTGTTAACAAATATGTTCAAGGTCTTTTATATCAAGCCTGGTGAAACATTTTATAATATATGGAAGTAAATTTTTCACTAAACGCACATTTCACAATTATTACCTTTTAAATCATAGGTAGTCAAAGTCATGTGAAACGAGATTCTTTTAATTAAAATATCAAGGAAATTATTGAACCAATGCATGCATATACACTTAACAAAGTATTCATTCAACAAATATTACGAATCCATAACATGTAAACGACAAAAAATATGGTGTTTAGTGACACTTGATCGTAAACTAATTAACTTTCGGATTTTGTTGTCGAAGTTCAACGTTCGGGACTTTAATTAACAATCAACAAAGCATCATGGAGCACGTGAAAAATAAGTAAAATGACAGAACGATGTTTATTTTTCTAATATATTTTCCTTTCGTTTCCATTTGTTGATTAAACATCTTAAACGTTGTCATAGCATTTGTTTAATGACTAGTTGTTTTATTTTGTGTATTTTTTTTAGAATCAGTTATCCTCGTTTGTTTACCTTTTCTTTCATCACGTGGTTTCCCTTGCACTTGCGCTGTGTGGTTTCCGAAGTTCTAATGAGAGGTCTAGTGGTTAATATCACTGCATACGGAAAAGTTGGCGAATTAGAGTACGGAAAGACAATAATTCAATAGCAGTACATTTCTGAGAATTTTAATAAGATAAAGGATTTTCTTTTAAAAGTCCATGTACACGTGTTTTATTGTAAAACAGCCATTCAAGTATAAAAACATATTTTAAAAAAATTCAGATGACTTTAAAAACCATAGTTCCGTTGCTATACACAAGCCAATGCCTCTGTCTTGATTTGATTCAATCTAAGCTTATCGGGAAAACTTTAATTTATGAATTCTAATAAATGGTTGATAGTCGAAGGGTTAAAAACTCCTAAAACTATTTACATCATCACACGATGACCGTCTCTTTTTTATTCGCCGCAAGTAGCATAAGTTAAGTGTTAGAAACTTTGCCTATAAATGCAACTCAATATTGTATTGACCTTTTTGTTTAGCTTAGAAAGTTATTATTGTAATGTTTTGAGTGTTTTTGTGTTTTATACTTTTTTCGAAGAGAATATCGTGAAAGTGATTGAGTAAAAGTATTCGTGAGAAAGAGACCATTAGAATTTTAAAATAAATATATGTAATTAATATTTCAGATCTTACTATCACTTTCAGACATAAACCAAATAAAACATAGAATAAATGAGACATAATGGAGTTGTGGGGTAGGGGTATTCTTCCTTT